TTATCAAAACACTGCTCATGCATTCCCAATGAAAGAAAAGCACAGCAAACTTTCACAATGCAGGAATCATAATTAAAAATCTCCATTGTATAATTTACAGACACATAACACCGCAAGCCCGCTACATTTGTTTGTTATGTAATACATAATACATTAGGTATGAAATGGCAGGGGCAACGTTCATATCACAGAAAAATGAAATAGCACGTGTGGAGTCATGCATGCAGCGGTAATGGGATTCGTTTTCCAAACCTGCCTTGTTTTACAGTTGTTAAAGGGACTTTATGATGAAGTTATGCTGATGTTTATGTGCAATGAATTTTAAAAGCAGTTTATGATATTTTTATGATGGATTAAGCACCAGAAAAAACAGGGGAAACAGACTTCTTCTTTTTTTTGGAAAATCCCCACAAAATGTTAAATACAAACAAGGTGCTGGTTTTAATCTAAGCGACTGGAAAAGGAAAAAAAGCACAGCTCTATCAGGGCGCAGTGCACCTTGGCAGGCGCGCTGTGACGCTTTGCCGTCAAAAAGGCTCCAATTAGCTCTCCATCGGCAAACAAGTGAGAATTTTATCGTGTTTGATGTGTATAAGTACAATCAGATAAATTACAGCAGGGAGAGGCACCTGCTGTTTGGAAAGTTTTCAGGGGGGTATGCCCACTGATTAATTTGTTCTCAAACATTGCAGAGGATTTGAGCCAAGGGAGTTAATTCTCCTCTCAAAACAATCGGCCGACTGTTGCGGCATAGATAATAATGCGTAATGCCTCCGCCTAGTCAATTTTGCACAAAAGATTAGCAGCATTTGATATTTCATATCTTGTTGTTGCACTGTTTATAAAATCACTTCCCAGTCCCTTTAACTAGACACCATGGTTCAACATGTTTTTTTTAAAGATGACAATGACAGAAAATGACAAGAAATAATAATAAAAAAAAGCATCATAAAAACTGAACCAAAGGGAAAGGACGAAAAGGCTAAAAACACAAACAAAATAAAACAAATTGCTTTGGTTTACTGGTTTTTTAAAGGGTTTAAGGGATGGTTATTCATTCTCAGAGGTTGAAAGGGAACAAGCCGATGAAATGACAGAAAATAAAGAACATTCTAGAAGTTCGATAAAGATTTACCTTTGTCCTGAAGCCAATCTTCTACTGGCCGGGTATATTTGAACGGGATTTTCTTATTTGCCATTTGATAGCGCTCAATGTCGCTGTTGCCTTTAAAGTTTGAAAGTTTAACAAACAGCTTCAAACAGTTGGCAACAGCAACAGACATCACACATTTATACAGTGGTTTATGAAGTGTTTTATCTTTGTTTAGAAATATTTATAAAAGCTTTATGATATATATGTATATATATATGTATATTTCTTTTACCCCAAAGTAGCGTTACTTTAGTGGAAATGTTTTAAAACTCATATTTATACAGCACACTCCACACACAGCAGCAATGAGGAAAAACAAACTGTAGGGAAAGAAAAACCCTGCAAGAAGAAGTCAAAACACAGGAAATGCATCACATCTACGTCATTTTACATAACAGAGACAAAAGGAAGGAGATCAAGTGGTTAAAAAGGCAGACGTGCATAAAGCGCCTTTCTCTGAAGCAAATTGGAGGTAATTTATGTGACCTAATTCTCCCACTGGACACCACCTGCTTTCACATTTCAAGGGCCAAGGAACGATTTGGTGTAGTAACTACTGTAGCAGCTTTTGAGGCGAAAAGGAGGCAACGTTAGATGAGGAGGTGGTAATTTGAAGCACAGCAGACCTGTTTGGGGGGTGTGTGGTAGTCCCACAGTGACACAGATTTGAAGAGGACAATGCATACAAATGAGATCATTACTGACATAGTGGGAGGCTTTCTGGGTTCAAAAAACACCAAAAGAACGCAACCACCTCTTCTGGGGATGTTCCTGTTGGGCTGGAGGTATATAACAGTAGTGTAATAATAATAGCCTCACTTATGCAGGGAATCTGGAGCCTGCATTGAGTATTTCTGGCATCATTTACAAATTTCCTTTGTGAATATGCCGGGATGCAACATTTTGTCTGACAAACAGGGATCCTCTCCCTTTGAAAGGTGCCGCGGATCTGTCGACAGCGAGAATTGAGACGTACAAGTCCGTCTTCAAACATTTTGAGGTCTAACAAAAGAGACGAATGACAGTGTGATGTCACTCAATATCCAGAAGGAAAGGTATTTGGAGGAAGAAAGAAGAAAGGGACTCATTTACAGTATAATACAACTGAAAGGGCAAAGCTTCACCTGCCGGTGTGTTTAGTTTGGAGCTTTTGAACGTGCTTACATTCAAAAGCGTTGCGCACGCCCTCGTTCTGACACCCGCCCGGGTTGTATTTCATTTTCTTTCTTGGTTTGGCAATAAGCTACATTTGGTGTAAGTCACCACTGCTCTGACCTGCTGACTAAATTTCCATAACATTACGCTCAAACGCGTCACAACTGCATAAAACCGTGAGCTCGTACCAGTTTCCCTTCTCTCTCTTTTCTGTCTTCCAAGCGTTCTTTGCTACCTTTCACAGAAAAAAAACATCCAAGTGCTCAGTTTACAGCCAGCTGGGATGGAGTGTAGATATGGCTGCAAGGGAGCTCAAGGAGCTAAACGAATGTTTCTGCAGTGTGCCAGCAGGTTAATCAGCTACTAGCAGGACTCCCTCCCCATTCCTTTGATCTCAAGCAGGTTTCAGGTGGCAGCCAAATACACTCTCCTCTGGACAAGGGCCACAGAGGGAGGCAATATGTTCGTGTTTGAAATCAGAGGACGGTCGGAAAAGGTTTGGAGTTCGATCGAGCGAGCCGGGAGACGAGACGGGAAACACGGGGGGAGGGTGGATGAGTGCCATCGACAAATAATCTCTTCGCATTCTTTCTTTGTCTTTTCCATAAAGTCTCAAACGCAGCCTCACGTTGTCCTTTAGATGAAGTGGAATCACAAGACTGAGAGAGGAAGCTGTAAGTTTGCTGTGCATTGCTAATGGCGTGGTCTCAGGTATAGCTCTTACATTGTTCTAGGTGATTAATGAGGTGACAGTCCCCACGTAATGAATACACCACCAGCTAATTGTGCAACTAATGAGAAAATTCTCTCTAGTTTGTCAATTTGATATTCAATTTCTAGAGGTGACTTCAGAATGGATGACCTTGCCAATAAAAGCACTACTGTTTATTAAAAAGTCAGTCTACTAAGGTTTTCAGTTTTCTTTACCCTAAATATAGTGGACAGATATTTCCTCCCAGTGTACTGAGGAGAGACGAATGAGCAATCTGACATTATAAAATGTCTGATGTTCTTTAAAGCCAGAAACCAGTTTCATTTTCAGTCAACGTACATAATGAAAACAAGCAAAAGAAAAACTGTATAGGTCTTTATATTTGTAGGGCGAGAAACCAAACGGCCATCAGTACGTACAGGTACAGCAGCGAAGGTGGAGCTACTTTGGAAATGGGTTACAAAAGGGCTTGCAGAGGCAGCAGCAGCTCTGTGATCAGCTAATCTTCCAGGAATCTTACCTTAAATTTGCCAACCTTAACTCAAGCTAACTTAGCTATGTTTGCTTTGGCTTTGGTGTTAGTGAGTCGAAAGCTAATCCAACCAGGACACATTCATTTTGCTTGTACAGGAAGAGCACCAGGACTCTCCTGCTTACCCCAAACCTGCCACCTCCCTGAGCCTGGACATTTCTTCCTGACAAAAGGAGTTCTTCGTTCCCACTGTTGCCAACTGCTTGCTCAAAGGAGGTCGTCTGATTGAAGCACCTTGAGACGTCTGTTGTTGTGATTTGGTGCAATATACATAAAACTGAATTGTACTGAACTGAATTTAATTGAATCCATTCTCTTCCGCTTATTAAATTCAGGGTTGCAATCTTCCTCCCATCATTACACAGTTCCTTCTTTTTGGCTACCTGCAGTTAACGCCGCAGGTAGCCACTACAGCATTCACTGGAAAGGCCGGTGTCGCCAATCAAACAACGCACATCAGCACCGAAACAGGAAGAGAAGTTTTTTTCCACAAAGTTTTCCAAAAACCTGTTGCAACATCTGTGACTTTGAGCTTAGTGATATATCATTAAAATAGCAGTAAAAACGGTTAGTACACTTGTGTCTTTACCCAGCAGCACAATGGACCAACTTACAAAAATCGAGAGGTGCACGGCTGTCCAAAAATGGCGTGGACGTGACATCATTCTCAGGGCGTGGCAGTGTGCCACAAGAGATGAGCATAAAAACAGCCTAGAAGCCGCCTCATGGGTAAGTTTGTCGTCCGTCTCTTCTCTCTGTGTTTCTGCAGGGCCTTAAAAGGTGAAATGTGATAACACCACACAGCCCTTATAGAGAAGACCAGGTGAATATAAATATTTACGTATGTTTATCATTATTATATTATTTTGCTGCGAGCTTATGCACACGTTGCTGGCTTTTACTTCGGCCCCACTGCACGCCATCACCGTTTTTTTCCTCCTAGCCAAAACAGCGTCTCGATTTTTTCCCTTTGGTGGCAGCCATTCAGTCAACACAAACACTGGCACGGTGACAGTCATCTGCTGGTCGGTTGCTTCGTTCTCTGCAGTTGGTTGCCAGACTAATCTCACCGGGG